CAATGGCTAAGTAGTATTCCATTGATGGAAAATGTTCTTATCTAACTCCCAGGCTTAAATCTGAGTAGTATTCATATATATATATATGAATGTGTATATGTATATATGTATGTGTATATATGTATGTGTATATATATATATATGTATGTGTATATATATATATATATATACCACAACTTCTTTATCTAATCATTTATCACTGGACATTTAGATTGCTTTCATATTTAGCTATTGTAAATAGTGTTGCTGTGAGCATGAGGGCACATGTATCTTTTCAAATTAGAGTTTCCTCTGGATATATGCCCAGGAGTGGGATTGCTAGATCATAGGGTAAGTCTATTTTCAGTTTTTTAAGGAATTTCCATACTGTTTTCCATAATGACTGCACCAAACTTTAGTTTGATGAAATACATATCTTACATCCCCAGGTCACTGAAAATATTATTCTATTACATTTTGGTAATCTAGGTAAGTGTTCTGTAACCTGCAGAAGAGCTACATTCATTATCTTTGATCCATCAACCAACCAACCAATCAATCAATCAATCATTTATTAATTGTGAACTCTGTATGTAATCAATAATCACCTCTGACAAGTGGGGAAATGTACAAAGGAATCATAACATGTAGTTCAGAATAGATTGGCCTTGATTTACACACATGAGACAATTAAAGACCAATATAAGAATAAAGAAAATAAAGTGATAATGATTTTATTTCCTGTCTGGTTCCACTTTAGGGATTCAGAAAAGGGAAGATCACCGGGACCTGAGGATCCATAGAGGAAGTATGAATAGGTTGATTTTTACTCTCAACTAGCCATCCACCTTATCATGTGACTTGGGAGAATTATTAACCATCATTGTGTAAATTATTCAGTTGTTTCCTGGCACCTTGAAGCTCACTGCAAAGAGCTGCTCATAGGAGAAGCAGTTGATTACAAATCACCCCATGCAATTTCAGCTTTTATCCTTGTGACTTTTCACTTTGTGGTTTATATTTGAAATGACTTCCTGTGTCTTCTGTCTCTTATCTTCTTAACCTGCCTGATGTGTCTACACCATCAACCAGAAATCATAAGGCCTCTCATTGTACTTGTTTAACCATTTTCTCTGAATGTTGCCCTAGGGCCCAGCCAAATAAATTTCATCCACATCACATCGATGATTTAAGCCAGGTTATTAACATTTGGTGAAAATCCATCCAGTGGTTTTTCTATAAAACACTAAGAGATAAACAGAAACTTTCATTTATTTAATAGGTCGGAAAGCACATGACTACATGTGACACTTTTGTCCACATCCCCTGATACCTGGGATAACGTTATGGGAGGGAGAAGAGGGGGAATGGAAGGAAAGTAGACTGTTCCTGAATCCAACTTCAGGCTTGGGGCTATTTTTGAATAGGAAAATTTAATTTTGGCTTTTTTCTCTCTTCTAAGCCCTGCTCTCCACATTCCCTGAGTAGTCCTAAATCCAAATATAATTTAATAATATAGTTTATTAATACAGGCTTAACTTGTGTCCTGAAGCATAATGTGATTCAGTAGGGACTGCCTCCCTCACCATCCTTACAGTTTTCTTTCCCTGTACTTGTTCATAGAGAAGCAAATGTGCATAGTAAGTGAGATATTTTCATATTTACCAAAGAATGTTCACGAATTCAATCTGACTGCTGGTCCTTGAAGTGAACATTTTTGGCCGCATCTGGGAAGAGACATTAGGTTGTGAGACGCACAGCCAGGATCCTTCTTCCTGAGAGTTTCACAAGATCGTGGACGTCACCCAATCATGCCTCTCTCTTCACAGATGAAGACATTAAAACTGACTTGCCACACTTCAGTAGTGACAGACACTTCATGTCCGTTGATTCCTTTGCCAATTTTGGCATCCTCTGAGTTCCTGCCTTTAAAATTCTCATTTGTTTCTCTACTTCTGAACTATTTCTTTTTTCTAAAAACTTGGTGGTGTGGATGTGTGTGTGTGTGTATACGTGTGTGTTAAGAGAAAAAATTATTCATGACACTTGTTAAAGACTGTAAGGCAGACTTTATTCAAAGGAAGCTACTACAATGGGTTTTATAGAGGGGGAGCGAGATTGTTACCAAACTCAGATTCAGCTGCTTGCCACTCAAAAGCCAATATTTAAGACACAAGTGTTGGTTGGAAAGGAAAGGTTGCTTTATTCAGGAGGCTGGAAACTTGGGGAGAAGATGGACTCAAGTCCCAAAGAACCAACTCCCAACTGTCAATCAGGGGTGGGAGGCTGCGTGTAGAACAGCACAGTCACCTTTGACAATCATTTTGAAATTGGCCATGTGGCAGTATGATGAGCATCATCTTGATTGTTTTGAGTACAGTTAATCCTCAACTCCTGGGTCAGTTTTCTTCCCACTTCCTTGAGGCCAGTTCTTGGAATTGTGTAAGATGTTGCAGTGTATATCATGGCTATAGTCTAGTCATCATGTAGTTAACTTTTTCCACCTGGCTGGGGTTTCAGTATCTGCAGAACAGCTCAAAGGATATGGCTCAGAATATTATCCATAGCCCTTGAGGAGGAATCAAAGATCCTTGACTTTGCTTAACAGCAAAACTATTATTATTTTGTTTTATTAGACTATTTTCCTTTGCTTCTGCATTTTCTCAGTACTCTGGTTAAATTTATTCTTTGGTTAAAATTTTACAGACAAAAGGCAGGTGGAGGACATGGTGGGGGTCTGTCCTAGGAAGACACCCTAGGATCCTGCTCAGTCACAAGGTTGCACTCAACTCCAACAAGGTCAAGTGGGGATTTATACCCAAGGAACTGGATTGGAGGTAGTGGATGGAAAATTACTAAGAGGAAATATCAGGGTCAAGGAGGATTTTTGCTAGACTGACTCATCAGAATTCTTGCTGAGGACAGGCTAGAGTGATAAGATATGGAGGCTGGTCAGATACCAAGGGTAGGGGATTTTTGCTAAACTGACTTAGCACGATTCTAGCTCAGCCTGGATTCTACTAGGGCCAAGAGCAAAGTCCAAGTCTGATCTAGTCAAGCAGAGGGATCAAAGGAGCCTGATTAAAATTTGGTCAAAGGAGAGAGTCTTTGTCCTGCGTGTGTGTGTGTGTGTGTGATGCTTCTCACAGAAGCACCATTAGGGTATTCAAAGTGGAGAGGGAGCAGTTTAGGGAAGGCCAGCTTCAGTATGTGAGATTTTAGCAGGTGGTTATTAGACTAAAGATATATATCTATCTAAATACAAATGGGATAATCTGTTTGAATAGACTTAACCAGCTAGCTGCATGAAACATATAGCTGTAAGGCTACAGGAAAATTTTCTCTATTCACTAAGATAGATACTGAGCACTCAGCAAGGGATATAAATATTTAGTTGGAATTCATCCTTTACATGCCTCCCCTCCCACCCATGGTAGCTAGTGATCTGGCTTCCTGTTTCAGAGCTTTCCAATCCACTCTGCACAGTTGCCTAAAGTTGACACTTTCCTCTTAAAAATCTTACATGGTCTCTAAGCTAGATCCCTTGGGTTTTCCCGAGACTTCCCCACTCCCTCTGGGCAGGAAGCACAAATTAGGACTAGGATTAAGGGGTTCTCTTATCCTGAGGTGTCTGATAGATGACATTTTATCAATGGGAAGCACCTGCAGGAGATCCACAGACAGAAGGAGGATAAAATCAGGGTATTAAACCTGGGCAACTGTCACCCAACCAGACTTGGGACTTCTAGCCCTCACTCAATAAAGCCAACCTACCGACTGACACGAGACAGTGGTGAAGGAGAGTGCAGCATTTATTGCAGGGCACCAAGCAAGGAGTCCAGACAGCTAATGCTCTAAAGGCCTTAATTCCTTGATGGCATTTAGGAAAGGTTTCTGAAGACAGAGGTGAAGGAGAGGGGTTGTGGGGTATATGATTAGCTGTGGACATTCTTCTGATTGGTTGATGGTGAGGTAATCAGGAAGCAATGTCATCAGCCTTCTGGTTCTGACCTGCCTGTGGTCTGAGTGCTTCTGGGCAGCATACAGTTAACTTTTTCCAACTGGTGGTGGTTTTAGTATCCACAAAACAGCTCACAGGACTTGGCTCAGATTATTATCTATAGCCCTTGAGGAAGAACTAAAGGTCCTTGACTTTGTTTAATGGTTAAACTGGTATTATTGTTTGTCTTGCTTGACTGTTGTCCTTTGTTTCTGCATTTTCTTACTTCTATGATTAAGTTTATTCTTTGGAACTTGGGGAAGCCTAGGAGGCTAAAGTTTTTCTACAGACAAAAGGCAGGCAGAAGACATGGGGTGGGGGAGGTCTGTCCCAGGAAAGCCCTAGAGAGTCCTGCTCCATTACACAACCTCTCTGCCAGATTGCCCTGGGGCTGGCTGTGTCCTCCAGGAAAGGCCATGTGGAGTCCCTCTGCATACAGCCATCCTCTGAGACTCCTGTGACCACGCTCTTCCTCTGTCACTCTGGGTCCAGCCAAGGTGGACTCTTCGCTATTGCTGCCTCTAGGTACTACTCTGTTTCTTGCTGATTTCCTTAAACACTGCCCACATCTTTGTAAATTGTTTTATCAAGCTCTCCTCAATCACCCAGGCTGATGGTGCCATCTGTTTCCTGCCAGACACATGCGAATATAGCTTTTCATTGCTCTGAGATAAAATTTAAAAATTCTCCCCCCAAAATTTCAAGTCGGTAAGCCCAACTTGGCCTTTCTTTGTATTTTTACATTTAGTGACTCCTCTGGGGTCTACCCTCCTTTGAAGGAATTATTGGCCCCCCGGTAAGTCATTCTTCTCATTTGTCCTACCTGGGAGCTACTCACCCTCCTCCTCGACTTGGCAAACTTCTTTTTATTTTGAAGATCGGTCATCAGTTCAAGATTTCTGGTATCCTTTTTTGTGTATAAAAAAGATTATTTGTGGTAATTTTGGCTTTTAGAATTAATATTTCATTTATAAAATAATATTGAAAAACCTAGCTCTCTTTTGGAAAATCTTATTTAACTTACAACTTTTATTGAACTCATAATTTATAAAATTTGTTTCATTTATAAACAGAATATGTTATTCTATACTTAGTAAATTTTAACATCTTTAAGGGGTGATTAAAGCCTAGGTAATTGAATTTCCTTAATATTTTATTTGTCTTTATCAAATTAAAATTTCAAGTTCCTTTTTTGATAATTTAATTGTCAGACGAATACATAAAACCTTCCCTAATACTTAAATAACTCCTGTAAATTTAATCACTTAGTGTATGTCTTAGAGATTCATTCCATATCAGGAAACATAATTTTTCAAAATTGATCTTTCAAAAAGTCTGCAGAATGTTCCATTATTTGGAAGTATCATAATTAATTTAATAGATCCCTACTATTTCTGAGTTTCGCCATAACAAATCATGTTGCAATAAATATCCATGTCAGTACACACTTACTCATGCGAGTATATCAGTAAATATTTAGCTGCTTTTGAAATTTATTTTACTGCATCTCAATGATTACAGCATGCCACTTTTTGTGACTGAGTACTGTGCATGGTTACTGATGCATTCCCAGAGAGACAGAGTACAGAACACAGTGTTAAATGAGAATTAAACACTGTTCTCTAGAAATCTGAGTCCTTGTAGAAGAAAATGAAACATATGGACAGATGAATGTATATTTTGCTAGGCTTTTGATCATGAAAGAATAATATACCTAACCTAAACTTTCTGAATTTGCTGTTTAATTTAGTCTATTTATTATTTAGTGTATAAGAAAAATCCTATTAAAAACATCAAGTGTTTGGGTTTATAAGTACCTGTTGGTCTGGTGTGTTTTCTTTCTTTAAAAAACCAAAACTTTGTTTTGTATTTTCTTGATTCTTTTACCTTTATTTAGTTCTATATTACTTCATTCTTATTTCTTTTATTTACTTTATTCTTATTTATACTTTATTCTATATAATTTACTCATCTTGGGGGACTGCAACTGGGAGTGGTACGTTAATGCCAAGGAGAGAACCTGTCTTCTTAGTGTCAAAGGCATGCACTTGTTTTTCCTTTTGCAAATTAAGTTCCTACGTTTAGTAATGATTAAGTCCTGGTATTCCAAAAGTCAGTTTGTCAGGTCAGAAGCTCAGAAGCAGGGATTATCTGCATGCTAAATAATTTCATTTAGCCAAACACCATTGAAGCATTTGAGTTCTTGCCTGGATCTGAGCCTGGGCAAACTCCAAAAGCCATTAATAGAGCTTAAGTCCTCCAGTATCTCTTAAAACGATTTCCTGAATTAGCTTCTTTTTGTTAAAATAATTTTCCTTTTCTTTTTCCTGACTGAACCCTGATTGTTGCAGTCAAAATTTATAAAAAAAATATACTACAGAATTATTAGTTCTCTATCTGGGAAGAAGTTTGGAAAGAGTTTTGGAAACCCAGATGAGCATGTAAAGATAACAGTATTTTTTAACCTCTCGCATTCACCAAGGCTCTTTTCACTTCATGAAGAAAATCCTCAGAGTCTGTAAAGCTAATTTTTACCAGTTAATTTAAATATAGATAATTTGATTCTATTTTTATAAACATATAAGTTTTGATGCTCTCCAAACATTGGGCGATTGAATATAATGATTTTGTAGCCTTGATGGATGATAAAACTATCAATGTAAACTACTTGAAGCTTAGTGTTTGGAACTATGGCGCACTAATGGATATACCTTCCCCTAGGGATCATGAAGATACCCTCGTGGTGATGGAAGTTTTCACTTTTCACTTGGTTGTTCTGAAACATGGTTCTTACTGCTTTTTGTTTGGACTAGGGAAATCATAGACTTAAAGCACTACAACGTGAATGTATTTCACTGACTTGTGCGTGCCAGCAAAAGATATAAATGAATCAAATTTTCACAGGAATTAAAGAACTCACTGTCTGAAAGTATCTAGTATTTGGTATTAAGTAGAGGGAGCATTTATTGTATTTAACTAATTTTCTCCTTCCCTCCTCCATCCCATCTTTCCACCTCCCTCTTTCATTTTTTTTTTTTTCATTCTTCCCCAATTAGGCCTTGTGTGAGGCTAGTCCACATTGTCCCTTGGAAGTCATGGGGACGACAGCACAAAATGGATTCATTCTCCCAGAGCCAATTCTCTGGTGACTTGGTGTAACCTTTTTGCTGACAGCACACTGAAATTGCTAAAGAACACATTTGTCAAAAGCAGGACACAGGTAATAAATCTCAGGAGAGTATTTTTTTATATAAATACTGATGACAACACAGCCTGCCATGAGTCAGTCTTCCAATGAGCACTCAGGCCTAAATTCCTTTTCTGGGGGGTAGGGGGAATCAGCAGAGAAGAGAGTGGTGAAGCAAATGCTCGTTTTCATGGTAAGAAACCTTGGCACAACAGATGTCACCTTTCAATGATTTTTAGCTCCAAATTACCAAATTAGCCAAACAAATTCTGATAAGCTAAATGAGAATCTATTAAGAGAGGAAAAAGATCAGGTTGATTGATTGATTGATTCATTTATTTATTTCATGTTGAAAAGAACCAAACTTAAAATCCTGATCCATAAAAATAAATCTGAAATCACTTAAAAAATCACTGAAATTCTGAAGAGGCAATGATAGAAAGACCCATAGCAGATCTTTCTTACATCTAATTCACAAAGAACCTCCCCTACCTAGGAAATTATTGCATAAGCGAGATATATCAAAGCAAGATAAAAATCATTGTTGTTAGAGGACTCATTGTGTTTGCAGTGTCTGACCTCTGTAAACCCATAAGAGGAGAAAAACTGCACATGATTAAGCAAGTATAATGAGTTCTTCCCTAATTTTTTCCAGTTTATTTATAACATATTATTGAGCTTGTCGGCTATTTTCCTTCTTACTGGAGGGAAACACATACACATTTATAGAATTTGAAGCTTTTAATATTTGAGGAAAACTGTTATACAATTCTTTTTTCATTTTTTCCTTGAAATGCTGAAGAACTTTTACATTTTTAAAATTGTTATTTCAGACTCCTCATGTCTGTTTCCCTATTCTGTAATTTTTTCCCCCTGGAAGAACTAAATTTGAGCTAAAAAATAATGCAATTTTTGCTCCTCTCCAGAATTGACAGCAAATGTTTCTTTTTACCTCCTAGCAAAAATAATTAACAATTTTAATTAACAATTTTCTATGCTTTCATTAGGTCATTATTTGCAGTGTTGTCATTAATTCGGTCCTTTGTTGAGATGTTATTGGTAAAAAGAAAAAAAAAAAGGCATAGCAACAATGTCCCATGACAAAAGCAAGATGTCACAGAGGTTTTAACTTTATTTTATTAAGAAAAATTAGTGTCATTTTTGGAGGTGAATCTTCAAAGGAAAGGGATCTCTCTTCTGCTAAGTTTTTAAATAACAAACAAAACCTCAAGTGCATTTAATTTCATGACAATTTCCTTTTTTAACAAAGCAGTGGACCAGCATCCATCTATGCATTTGCTTACTTGTTTTTGTAATTTTTGGCTAAGAGTTTAAGATAAGGGCTTAAAAGTACTATTATCTCCAATATCACCTTAACAAATCACCCACGTAATAACTTTTGAAATAAATATGTGTCTTATTCTATTGTTTTGTCTTAATCTAATACTTAAATGTTTAAATAGTTCTCTAATATTTATGATCATTCATCAGAAACATGAGATAATACAATTAATTTCTAGTAGCTGTTTCATACCATGTGCTCCAAAAAAATAAAATAAAATAAACAAAATTCACTTTACAAATCTAGGAAGTTAAATTATATCAATCCTTTCAGGGATTAGGTTTTTAAAAGTAAAACTTAAGACTCGAAAAATTATACCATGAAGTACTGAAGAGTATAGTGTTTTGTATTAAGAATGCTGTGTCTACAGATGTACAGTGATAAATGTATAAGTTATTTTGTGGTTATTGTGAGCTATCTTTCAAGATAATTTTTAAAAGAATTAAAGAAAAAATTTTTAATTCACAAAAGTAAAGAAGATAAAAAGCTAGTAAAGTTAATTTACTAAAGAAGTTAATTAGGCATTTTAAATTTCTTTACATTCAGTATTTTATTGCTTAGGAACTGAAGTGGCAAGTAATCAAATAATTTGTGCGGTGTGTTCCAACATTGATAGTCTGCAGTTTATAAAACAATTAAGTCTTTGTCCCTCTTACGTTTTACTCTGTATGTTTTGGTTTCTCAAGTTCATCTTAATTGTGTAATAGTTGATTGGTATAATTAAAATATATCTTAAGAAAAATGCTAATGTGAGAAATTAAATCACTGTATCCAGAGCAAATAAAGTGTACCATAATATTAAGGTTTCAAATAATGCACATTGAGAAAAATTGCTGAGCTGTAGTAGCAAATACTGTAAATATTATTTTCAAAGACACATGTATTCTCATTAATATCTTTTCTGAGTAAATCTAGTGAGGACGTGCTTGTAGGCTCATTTTCCTAGTGGACCAGTGAGTTTTAATTTCTTCTCAGGCCAAAGTCCATTGTCCAAACTGGCCTTAGATCCCACTAATGCTAGTCATTGGTCCTCAGAGTTACACATCCAGTTCTGGCCCTGGAAAAACAAATCAAACCCATGTCATACTCTGGGTGAGTCAGTTCCATTATTTACACATTTTAAGGACAACAACATAAATTATAAGAAGTGACAGCTTAAACAACGAACAGGCCTATAGGTCAACTTTGTTACCAATGTGACACTTGAAATCTGTGGACAAGATGACCTCAACCTGAATTTGAGTTCATGACTGAACGTGGCTGCCAAATGAAAGGAGATGATCTGCAAGATTTACAGAATCTATCATTAGAGATATTTCCTCTCTTTTCTGAGATTATTCCTGTATAATCTTGTAGACTTTAGCATATTTTTAGTTTATCATATATTGCTCTAAATTCTAAAAACTATATTGTTCAAATTGAAGAGAAAAACTTTTCCTTAATTGAAGAGTAAGTATTAAGTGGCAGGATCCAAAGCATCTGCAAATATCCACAAAAGAAACTAAAAAACAAAAGCAAGAGGAAGAAGCACAGTCTTTAGATCACAATTACTGTTAAAGCTGAACATTAAATAATAGTTCCCCAGGTCCTGGTAATTCTTGAGGGAATTTTACTTTTTTTTTTAAATATGGATCGCTTCACGAATTTGCGTATCATCCTTGCGCAGGAGCCATGCTAATCTTCTTTGTCCAATTTTAGTATATGTGCTGCCGAAGCAAGCACTTGAGGGACTTTTATCCAGCAAACTGATGAATGAAAGTGGGACATGGAAAATTCTTGATTCACAATCCTAGGTAAGTGTTACATATTAGTACAATCAGAACATGCACTTACTTGGATTACTTAGATGGTTTTAACTGGGTTACTTAGATGCCGGGTGACAACATGCACTCAATTGTCTTTAGTCCCTTCCTAGCAAAGATGGTTTTTAGACTAACAGAACTGGCATCTCCCAAGAGCCCATGAGAATTGCAGACTCTCAGCCCCCCACCCAGAATTAGAATCTGTATTTTGAAAATATCAGCAGTGCTCATGGTCAGTAGGGAGCTCAACTGGGGATTGAAAATGCAGTTAGCTGGGCACTCTGAAAAGTTGCACAGCCCATGATTTTTATTGTTTCTTCCTCTTTCTTTCACAGGGAAGGGAAGGAACATAGTACTTTTGCAAAAGACTCACAGTACCCACAAGACACAAACAATGAATTCACTGGACCTTTGGAACCCCCCAGAAGTACAATTTTGCTTTGCTCTGGTTAACAATTCATGCCCTAGAAACGTGAGGTCTGGGCTGAGTGTCTGTGCCATGTACGTTGTCATGACTGGTGCCATAGTGATGACCATGCTGGGCAACCTGGTTGTGATCATTTCCGTCGCCCACTTCAAGCAGCTCCACTCCCCAACCAACTTCCTGATTCTCTCCATGGCCACCACTGACTTCCTGCTGAGCTGTGTGGTCATGCCCTTCAGTATGATCAGGTCCATTGAGTCTTGCTGGTACTTTGGAGATCTCTTTTGCAAAGTCCACAGCTGCTGTGACATCATGCTCTGTACCACCTCCATCTTCCACCTCTGCTTCATCTCGGTGGACCGCTACTATGCTGTTTGTGACCCTTTACATTATATCACCAAAATTACCATGCCTGTCATAGGGGTCTTTCTGTTCATCAGTTGGTCTATTCCAATCGTTTTTGCCTTTGGCCTGGTATTCTCAGAATTAAACATAATTGGTGCAGAAGACTTTGTTGCAGCCACTGACTGCACAGGCTTGTGTGTGTTGATATTTAACAAGCTCTGGGGGGTGCTGGCCTCCTTTATAGCCTTTTTTCTCCCTGGGATGGTAATGGTAGGGATTTACATACATATTTACACAGTAGCCAGGAAGCACACTAAGCAAATTGGCATGGGGTCCATGGTGGAACAGATTGTGTCAGAAAACAAAATGAAGCTATCATCCAAAAAAGAAAGCAAGGCCACCAAGACTTTAAGCACAGTCATGGGAGTATTTGTGTTGTGCTGGCTGCCCTTTTTTGTCTTGACGATCACAGACCCTTTCATTAATTTTACAACTCCCGAAGATTTGTACAATGTCTTTCTCTGGTTGGGTTATTTCAATTCCACTTTCAATCCCATTATATATGGTATGTTTTACCCTTGGTTTCGCAAGGCGTTGAGGATGATTGTCTCAGGAATGATCTTCTGCCCTGACTCTTCCACTCTAAGCCTATTTCCTGCACGTGCTTAGCAATGCTCTCCATTTTCTAAAATCCCTTCCTGCTAGGGAAACTTGGGTGCTCCTTCCTCAGAAGGGTAGGGGCTTGGGTTGATTAGATACAGATATTGTTTCAGTTGGTGTAATAGACACCTAAGTAGAATCAATAGCTCTAGATTTCTGGGCATGCCCGAATCACCAAAGTGATCACTTTCTGGACTTTTGGGGAAGGCACCTCCAGTCAAAAGAAACTCTCTCCCAAGTCTTGCTGATTCCTGAATTTTGAAATTTAGAGATTTAGAATTTCATTCCGTTGGCATAACTCAGATGGGGACCTTCTCTTCTTCTTGTAAACAACAGAAGAGGAGACACAGTTGGTCTTCACACTCATGAGAGCACATAGAGTTTATCTAACTATTCCTGAGATTACTGGGGAATGGGGAGAGCTTCAGAACACTGGGATCCTCAATATGGAGCATGTGAATGACTTGGAAAGGGAGTAGGAAGCAGGCATTTGTAGTTACTTCCAAGTTTATTAATTCTGATTTAAACCTCTTTACTAATGTAAGGTTTGCAATAGTTTGATAAAATTGGACTGTCATTAAACGAGAAAAGTGGATAAAGATAGAGTTTAGGAATGCATTCTTTTTTCTCTCAATATATACTTGTGATCTATGTATAAATGTGGCTTGCATGTACACATACGGGTGCTATGTCCATCTCTTGGCTGTGTGTGTGCACGTACTAATTATTCACCAAGATTAAGCTTCATTCACAAACTGAAGTCCTTTCCCTTCCCCCATGCTTTGGATAATGTTTATTGTCTCAGTGATGGTCTCTTCTCTGTTTCCTTTTGCCTTTCTCTTCCTTCTACTACCCCACAAACCCATTTCACCAAATTTTGTCCTTTACAGTCTTCTTTTCATCCTTCACACCATCGCTCTGTCTCTATAACCCAGTTGCCCTCAACCAGGGACGGTTTTGCACCTTGAGTGCATTTGGCAATGTCTGGAGATATTTTTGGCTGTTACAACCAGGGAGGGAGTACTACTGACATTTAGAGGGTAGAGGGAAGGGGTGCTGCCACACATCCTACAATGCACAGAACAGCCCCACAACAAAGAGTTATCTGGCCCCAAACTTCAAGAGTGCCATGGTTGAGAAACCGTGCTCTAATTTTACATAGCCTCACAGCTCCAATTGCGACTTCTATTTAGATTTCTCTCAAATATATTTATTTTCAGCCCTATCATTTTTCACAAATTTGAGTTACGCATTTCTTATTATCATTAGAGTATCTTTTTGGATGCCCCGACAAGATCTCACACTCAACACATGCAGCACCTTCCTTCTATGCCCACCCCATCGCCCCAAACCTATCTGTTCTGCTTCCTGCTTTGTACAGGGGTCGAGTGTGCTCAAATGTGCTGGTTCCTTGTCTAGAGTATAAACTTCTTGTGTGCAAGACTATGCCTTTATATTATTCCTGGTTCCTTTCCTGTAAAAATCTCTGGACACATTTACTGGATAACTAAAACATAGAAACTTTGAGAACAATGGGAGAGAGTTACTCAAATTCACAGAAATAAACAATGATAAAACAAAGGATGCTGAACAGAGCAGGGCTCCTTCTCTCAGGAGGGAAGATGAAGAAAAAAGCTTACTTGTAAAGAAAAAATTGAATTGAATTGAATTCTTGTTCTAATGGGCTTTGGTTGTATGTGCACAATGTTGTGCTGGGAAACCTGGGGACAGGGTCAGCAGAGGCATATAGTGGAAAGTGACTCATCAACTCAGAAACATTGCAACATTCAGACTGCAGCTTTCATGCTCATATAGTGAAATTTCTGAGAATAGAAATTAGGTCTCGCCTTTCCTAATGCTTCAATAGTGCATGTGCTTTATGGAAAGGTTTGGTGGTGTAGACATACTGTTCACTAATACATATACTGACAGATTGGGACTTTTTAAATGTAAATCATTAATAGAAGGACTCTTCCAGCCCAAATAGAACATCTTCACAAACCTGAAATCTATTTACACGTGGCTAGAGCAATTTATTTATCAACTTTAGCCTATTTTTTGCAGAAAGTAAGGTTGTTTTTCATAACAATAACCGCAAGACACTGATATGCTGCAGAGAGAAAGCTTGTTCCCATTAGCATGGGTTTTAGTGTTAAGTGTATTCTTCTGTAGTAATTCTTATAGTAATATCAGAATATTTGGTTAACCAAACCCTCTCCATTCCCTGTGCTGGCCAAATAACACTACACCTCTGCGTAGGACAGCTAATCCTGAGGTTTCCAATGTTCATATACATAAATCCTACATGCTTTTATGAAACTTTTTTGCTTTTTTTGAATCCACCCTTGCTCCATCTATCTACTGGGAAACTATCATTACTTTAAAACACCTCTAATAACATCATTATTCAGTTAGGAATTAATTCCCAACACCCTCTTGATCTATGTTTTCTGTTGAACCTTTATAACTTCCCAAGGTCAGTATTTGGAATTGGATAATGTGAATATGGCATATTTAGTTTCTGAGATGTTTCAGTAAATTGCTGTTATCACAGGATAGTATTTGAAATCAAAACTGGGTTTTAAGATCTTAGCATAGTACTGATTTATTCTCTTCTGATGACAGTAATTTAATCCTGTAGGGGATTTCCTCCGCCCTTAATCCTGAACAATACTTTTGACTACCTTATAAATATGTCCCTTACTCTTATTTTGCATTAGTAAAACACAACCACTTTGAGGAAAGCCACATAAATGCTGCATCGGTGACTCAGGATGTAAGGAGGAAAATTTAAAAGATCCGAAATCCAGTTACTGTTGCTCCTTCTGATTATGCAACTGTAATGTATGTCTGAAAGTCAATAGAAGAAGAGATAAAAGACCTAACTGTGGAAGGTTAACAGAGGGTCTGGACTAGATATCCATTCACACTCTGGTCTGCCCGACACCGTTTACTATGTGTCAGGAACTGCTCTTAGCACCTTACGAACTTTAGCTCACTCATCTTCACAACAAAGCCGTAATGTAGGGATTGCATTACATTTAATTAATAGATGAGAAAATTGGGCACAGAAGGGCTGGGTTAAACTCAGACATAGGAGTCACATAACTAGAAACAGTTGTTATAAAATTCTCCACTTCTACATATATTTGGATTGTATATTGCTTTTCAGTTTTGATATTATACGTCCCAGAACCCAAGCCTTTGTTTGAGAGTTTCCTTCTTCAGGTCTTACTTTAGTTGTAAGACATTTGTCCTTATTTTCCACAGATTCTTGGGCAAATTAGATTTTGACCCATAAACTCCCTAGCTGATTGCACCTGGATTATGGCTTGTAGGCTACAGGGTGTCATGGTACATGGCAATGCAGGATTCTTCCTTGTCTGACTAAATTCTGGAGTGAGAAATCTATCTGCACACATGTGGACTTGATACAAGGCAAGTTCCAGCAGTTACCACCGGGTTCAGCCCCGGCTTTGCAGAGAAGGGGGGCGGTACATGCCTGCCAACCTCCTTCCTTCTTAGTGATCTGCCCACCTTCTACAGACCCTGCTGGCTGATGTCATCTGTTTTTACCTTCAGAATTCTGTCGTTTTTGCAACATCAGTTTTACTTATATTGTGGAATGATTTTTCCAAGGCCATAAAGAGACATCTTATCCTCTGGAGGCTTGGTATCAAGAAACAGAGAGAGCAGAATATGACTGAACATGCTATTTTCCTCAGTATTATCTCTGTGAGGCACAGACGGTGAGGCTAAATTGCAGGTATTCTTACCAGAGGGGGAGCAGAGGGGAGGAAGTGGTTAAACGTTGAGCCAGGAAGCGGCAGAACAAAAATCTAACTGCATCCAGGTGAACTGCTTCATCTACCATGATTTCTTTAACTGGCACAAAACAGAGAGCTTAAAAAGACATCATGATGAACTCAGTGTGAGAGTCACAAACCAAAGGGTTATGATCAATTATTCGAATTATTTCTCATGCTGCGAGAAATACACACCAACAATTTTAGTGCAAAAGGGATATATGGAACTTACTAAAAATAAGTTTGCAAAATCTATTGTCTTTAAATTCCATCTCTAATGAATTGGCAGGATAAATTATTCCGTATTGAGAAGGAACTTTAAACTACTGAGACTTGTGAATAGTGCAAACTAGGTCCCTGGGTACACTTCAGTGCTAATTTGTTTTACATGCCAAAGGGAGGAGTAGTTTCTATTTGGAGTATAAAATCATTAACTGATTGCACATCTGTCAACTTTGCTGATGGAAGAGGATTCTACACACCTTATGTCCACCTGCCATAAGGACTCCTTCCAATGAAATGATTCTGATTCTTACTTCTGTAAGTAGCTTAGAAGGTCTGAATTCAATTTATTAGGATTTGTTTAAAATTTCACAGACTAGTGATCAAACTAGGTAGATAAATACTTTTTCATATCTGATAGTTCTCCCAGGATGTGTAAACACCATGTGTAACCTTTAGAAATTTGGCAGCATGAAAAACTGAAATAGGGTAATTCTATTCATTACTTGTATGCTGAATTCTTTTCTTGGAAAAAGCTGGCATGGAATTGAAAAGCTTGATCTGCAGATTTTATTGCCAATTTACTTAGTTCTTAAAGGGGGCGGGGATCCAGAAGTTACTTCTTCCCTAAGTAATGATTTATTAACAAGAATTAATTCTTCCCTGGTTCAGAGTCATAACTTCTTTTTTCTTCCAGTTTTATTGAGATGTAATTAACATATAATGCTGTGTAAGTTTAAGATGTTCAGCATAATGATTTGACTTAATGTACATCGTGAAATGATGACCACAATAAGTTTGGTAAATATCTATCATCTCACACAGATACAAATTTAAAGAAGTTAAAGAAAATTTTCCTTGTGATGAGAACTGTTAGAATTTACTCTCTTATGTTCATGTATTACATATAGCAGTGTTAGTTACATTTATCTTGTTGTACATTGCATTCCTAGTACTTACTTATCTTATAACTGGAGATTTGTACTTTTTGCCTGCTTTCATCCAGTTCCTTCTCATAACTTTAAATCATACTTTACATTTGACAAAAGGTATGTTATCAAAATGGAAAAGGCACGCACCTCTCAATAATTTTATACTCCCTACTGTGACATAGCTAGCTTTTTCTTTGAAAAACATTTGCTTCCATCTTTCTTCTCTTTTTTTAAGGATATTATCTACACTAGTTTCAAAAGTGCTTAGTCAGACAGATCAGGGCTAACAGAAGTAACTCTTGTGGGACCTCAAATCCCATGCTGTATTTGATTTCCAGGGCACACTTGATTCAAAACGCCCTTTAGTTCTTCCTCTAGATCTCATTTTCTAGTTGTTTAGCAAATAATTTTTTGAGGGGTGGGACAGGTGGTAAGAGAGACCATAAATGAGTGTCGTCCTCAACCAAGATGCTGAAAAACACCCCATGACGTTCTGCTACCAGGTGAATGGGTCTTGTCCCAGGACGGTCCATCCCCTGGGCATCCAGGTGGCCATCTACCTGGCCTGTGCAGCAGGCGTGCTGATTACGGTCCTAGGAAATTTGTTTGTGGTGTTCGCTGTGTCCTACTTCAAAGCGCTTCACACTCCCACCAACTTCCTGCTGCTTTCCCTGGCCCTGGCTGACATGTTTCTGGGTCTGCTGGTGCTGCCCCTCAGCACCGTCCGCTCAGTAGAGAGCTGCTGGTTCTTCGGAGACTTCTTCTGCCGCCTGCACACCTACCTGGACACCCTCTTCTGCCTTACCTCCATCTTCCATCTCTGTTTCATTTCCATTGACCGCCACTGTGCCATCTGTGAGCCCCTGCTCTATCCCTCCAAGGTCACAGTCAGGGTGGCCCTCAGGTACATCCTGGCAGGGTGGGGGGTGCCAGCAGCATACACTGCCTTCTTACTCTACGCAGACATGGTGGAGAGAGGGCTCGGCCAATGGCTGGAAGAGATGCCTTGTGTGGGCAGTTGTCAGCTGCTGTTCAATAAGTTTTGGGGCTGGTTAAACTTTCCTATGTTCTTCTTCCCCTGCCTCATCATGATCAGCTTGTATGTGAAGATCTTCGTGGTTGCTAGCAGGCAGGCTCAGCAGATCAACAGCTTAAGCAAAAGCCTGGCTGGGGCTGCCAAGCGTGAAAGAAAAGCTGCCAAGACCCTGGGCATCGCCGTGGGCGTGTACCTCTTGTGCTGGCTTCCTTTCACCATCGACACAATGGTCGACAGCCTCCTTAACTTCATCACGCCACCACTGGTCTTCGACCTCTTCATCTGGCTTGCTTACTTCAACTCAGCCTGCAACCCGATCATCTACGTCTTTTCCTACCGGTGGTTCAGGAAGGCACTGAAGCTCATCCTGAGTCGGGAGATCTTCTCACTGCGGACACCCACTGTCGATTTGTACCAAGAGTGACTGAATGCAGGCAAGGGGTGCGGTTTTGAGGAAGGATGAGTGGAGCTGTGGCAGTGGGCTGTGTGGTGTCAGGAGTTTGTGGGCAGGCTTCCGGGGCAGCAGGGTTTAAGTGGAGGGGCAAAAACAAGGAGATACAGCACTCCTTCAATGTTTCTATAGAACGTAGGAAACGGAGAGAGTGAAGTCATCTAAGTATTTACTGGATAAGTAAAAATCTATGCAAATATTAGGCTCCTTGTTTATTACTTCCTCAAGACAACTGAGATGCAGAGGTGGAGGAAAAAGAGCACTGAGGTCAGATTTCTGAGTTCTTGTCCTGGTCCTGCCAACAGGCAGCGCCAGGTTAGGCTACTTAGGCAATCTTTGAACCCTCCTCCTATCACAGTTTCCATATCAAGAAAATTAAAGGTTTGTACTGTTGGCTCTCTGAGACATCCTTGAGCTCAAATATTGTGTAATTGAACTTTGGGAAACATTGTTTGTATCCTAATTTTGTATCACTTTCATAACCATGGTCAAGTGTTTGGAAAGTCGCTTTTTCAAAATGTTCCTTTTAAAAACCCTCCATCTCCTTGGAACCCAGCCGTTGAACAGGTTGGTAAACCAGGTCTGTCTGTTTCAATGCTCACTGAGTACAGGCATTATATTCTTGAAAGAATATTTTCTCCCTTTTTCTTTAATAATTGCAACATGAAAATATGTGGCAGGTTTGGTAAAGTGACCGTGATCCACATCTCATTATTTTAATATTTTCTCCTTTCTTGACATCACACAAGTTAGTCCTACGATCTTCCCAGGGACAGCAGTATATGATTTTCTTTGGGGAAACAAGAACTTATGCCACATGCTTGCTCAAAACCAAACCAAATGCTTCTCAGGAGCTATTACTAGGAAAGGTGTATCTTCTCTGTACATCTTGTTTCTGTTTTCTTCCTCGATCTTTTCCTGCAGGTCTTTAGTCACCCTACTTCCACTGATGTTTTTCCCTTTTTTTAAAATTGGAGTATAGTCAGTTTATAATGTTGTGTCAGTTTCTGGTGTACAGCACAATGTTTCAGTCATAGGTATGCATACATATATTCCTTTTCCTATTCTTTCTCATTATAGGTCATTACAAGATATTGAATATAGTTCCCTGTGCTATACGGTATGAACTTGTTGTTTATCTATTTTATATATAGTAGTTAGTGTCTGCAAATCCTGAACTCCCAGTTTATCCCTCCACCCTTCCCTTCCCCTCTGGTAACCACAAGTTTGTTTTCTAGGTCTCTGAGTCTGTTTCTGTTTTGTAAACAAGTTCATTTGTGTCTTCTTTTTAGATTACATATATAAGTAATATACCATATGATAACACTTATTGTGGAATCTTACTGATTTTTTCAAATTAATAATAGCTTATTTGGAAAACCTGTTTGTAAATTAATCTGAGGTGTCTGGAGTACAGATACGTACATAATGTAATTATAAATACAGATACGGATATAGACATATCAGTAAATAAAGAAAGAAGTAAAGTCATATTATGGCACAGAAGTTTGCTACAATTGCTACAATGGATTTATTTCTTTTGTTTTTTGATAGAGATCACTTTTATTGATGCCACTCTTTTTCTTTTTTTTAACTATTTTTAAA